TCTGCTCTGGGTCTCTCACTGGGCTGCAGATCAAGGTGTTGGCTAGGACACAGTCTTACATGGAGGCTCAACCAGAGAGGAACCCGCCTCCACATTCACTTGGTTTGTTGGCCAGGACGCAGTCTCACTCGGGGGCTCGACCGGGGAAGAACCCACCTCCACACTCACTTGGGTTGTTGGCAGTCAGTATTCATTTGTCTGTGGGACTGAGGGCTGCTACGCACCTTCCTGTACAAGTTTGTGTGCGGATGGCTGGATGTTTTCAGTTCTCTTGGCTGTATGTCTAGGAGTGGAGTTGCTGGGTTGCAAGGTAACCCTATGTTAGACCACTTGATGGACTGCCGGCTGTTTTGTGAAGCAACTGCATCATTTTGCATTCTCATCAAAAGTGTATGAGGGTTTGCACAGTGTTTTCACATTTCGGGGATTAGTTGCTGACACTTCATCATCAGGAGAGTTCAACTTTAAAAAATGGATTCCCAGGCCGGGCGTGGTGGCTCAAGCCTGTAATCCCAGCACTTTGGGAGGCCGAGACGGGTGGATCACGAGGTCAGGAGATCGAGACCATCCTGGCTAACACAGTGAAACCCCATCTCTACTAAAAAATACAAAAAACTAGCCGGGCGAGGTGGCAGGCGCCTGTAGTCCCAGCTACTCGAGAGGCTGAGGCAGGAGAATGGCGTGAACCCGGGAGGCGGAGCTTGCAGTGAGCCAAGATCCGGCCACTGCACTCCAGCCTGGGCGACAGAGCGAGACTCCGTCTCAAAAAAAAAAAAAAAAAAGAAAAAAAAATGGATTCCCAAAGCCAGAAGTGGTAGCATCCATCTGTAGCCCCAACTACCTGGGAAGCTGAGGTAGGAGGATCACTTGAGTCCAGGAATTCAAGGCCAGCCTGGGCAACACAGCAAGATCCTGTCTCTTAATAAAAACATTTTTAAAAAGAGGATTCCCAGATTCTTCTTGAAAAATCAGAAGATCTGTGAAAGTGGGACTCAATTCCATCAAGGCGATACCTGCTGACCCTGGGAAGGGCTGTGGCTGTCTCCTTGCAGTCTTCTCCACTCGGTGCCCTTGCGGAGTTTCCCCTCCTGGCCCCTGCGGGGACGTGTGTTCCAACTCCTGTCCCAGACTGCGAGCCCCTTAAGGCAGAGCAGGAGCCCGTCCAAGCTGCCTTTGCAGGAAGCCCGCTGCCCAGTTGGCTTCGTGTCTGAACAATCTCATGTGTGTTCCTGCCTCTGGCGCCTTGTGCAGGTGCCTCCCACACCTGGAATGCTGTCCCTCCTGTTCCTACTCCCTTTCAAATCCTACTCCTCTTGAAGGCCCACTTCACATTCCAGCTGCTCCAGGAAGCCCGTGTGGATTTCCCCAACCCTTGCTGACCCCTCCCATCCTCAAACTCCTGTAGTACTTGTCATCTGTGCTCCCATCTCCCCCAGTGGTGTTCCCTCTTGCCATCTTCTGTTCTCTACTGAAAAGCTGTATTTCAGTTGTTTTGTAAGCTGTTTGAGGTTACAGACAACTGCTTCAGGTCAAATCCATATACCTCCAGTTACTGTGGGAGCTCAGACCGCTCAGTTCATCTCTTCCTGCCTCCATGCCTTATTGGAAGGATTAACTATGCTAATCAGTATAAAGCCCTAGATCAGTGCCTGGCACATAGTAGGTGCTCAGTAAAAAGGGTTGTTTTCTCTTTTGTTCCAGTGCTGAGCTAAGCGGACGGTGAGCCTCACCACAGCTGTGTTTGCTGACTTCTTTCCTTACACTCACAGTCCCACTTCTGGGAGCCATCTCCACCCCAGGAGGGGCCTCTCAGTTTCTCCCTCTAGCAGAAGCCTGGCCCCCCAGCTCCAGGAGGGACCAGGAGGTGGGCAGGGGTCGAGACTGGGGCATGGCACAGCCCTCCCCTGCACCCCTCCAGCCCATCCCCTGGGGGCTTGAACACAGATGCGGCCCAGCATGACTGGTGCTGCCCCGTAAGCCCTCCCTGGCACCAGGAGCCTCTGGGGCTGGCTGGAGCTGCTGTCCGTGCCCCGTCATGGACACAGCAGCTCCAAGCCTTCCTCTCTTTAGCATCACCTGCAGCATTGCCCGAGACGACTCGGGGCAAGGCTGCGGGAGTGGCTCAGTCCCCAGGGTGGAAACCACGTTGGTATAGGCCCCAGGCTACCTGCCGTCCTGATGGGGTTACCCTGGGCCGTGAGTGGATGAATGAATAAAGTGTGTTGGTCCGAGGTGCCGCCTCCTGGCTCCAGCCTAAGCCGCCGGCACGCCTGTGGGATTTGTGGGGGCTGTGGTCTGGCCAGTGTCACCATATGGATCCCATAAATTAAAGCATTCCCGGAAACAAATGGTAAATTTATATGTCCTTCGCATGCAGAGCCGGTGGAGCCTGCGCTTGCCCGAGGAATTCCAAACCATCCGTCTCACTTAGGCACTTGGGTTTTATAGCACTAATCCCTAAAAGAAAAAAAAAAAACAGATAAACAGAAAGTTGCTTTTCCACAACCCTCCTGTCCCTGGAGCTCATGATTGAGAAGTGGAGGGTCACCAACCCCCACGACAGGGGCCTGGTAGCGCAGTTCGTTGTTCAAGCTGGGGGGCTTAGCTCACCACCTCACCGGACGGCAGGCCCTCAGCCTCCCACACCCAGGCCTCTGAAGTCCCTGGCCTGGACTGACCCTGCTTGTGACCCCAGGCTCCTACCAACCCTTCCTGGAAAGGGGATGGGCCAACTAGAGCAGCCCGTCACCAAGACAGAGAGCAGATGCCAACAGCCAGGGCTGAGGGCAGGGAGCAGGGAGCCTTTTAATGGGGACAGAGTTGCTGTGTGAGATGATGAGAAAGTTCTAGAAATGAATGGTGGTAATGGTAGCACAATATTGGGAATGTACTCAGTGCACACTTGGAAATGGTCAGAATGGTAAGTTTTGTGTTTGGTTTTTTTTTTTTTTTTTTTTTTTTTTTTGACACGGAGTCTCGCTCTGTCGCCCAGGCTGGAGTGCAGTGGCTGGATCTCAGCTCACTGCAAGCTCCGCCTCCCAGGTTTACGCCATTCCCCTGCATCAGCCTCCCGAGTAGCTGGAACTAAGGCGCCCGCCACCTCGCCTGGCTAGTTTTTTTACATTTTTTAGTAGAAACGGGGTTTCACTGTGTTAGCCAGTCTGGTCTCGATCTCCTGACCTTGTGATCCGCCCGTCTCAGCCTCCCAAAGTGCTGGGATTACAGGCTTGAGCCACCGCGCCCGGCCTGGTATATTTTATGACAATTTTAAAGATTATAGAAAAGTGGCCGGACGCGGTGGCTCACGCCTGTAATCCCAGTACTCTGGGAGGCAGAGGTGGGCGGATCACTTGAGGTCAGGAGTTTGAAACCAGTCTGGCCAACATAGTGAAACCCCATCTCTACTAAAAAAAACAGAGTTAGCCGGGCGTGGTGGCGGACACCTGTCATCCCAGCTACTCTGGAGGCTGAGGCAGGGGAATTGCTTGAACACAGGAGGTGGAGGTTGCAGTGAGCTGAGATCACACTATTGCACTCCAGCCTGGGTGATAGAGCGAGACTCCATCTCAAAAAGTTAAAAATAAAATAAAAAATAAAGATTACAAAAAAGTGAGGGCTGTGGAAATGGGATGACCCCCTGCAGTGTGGATGGAGATTAACCGTGTTCATCCTTATAGTTATAACTGGTAGTTATTCCAAGTTCCATGCAGAGCTCGGGACAGGTAGGCCCTTAGTAACGGGCAGTTGGCGTCATCACCGTCAGCATCCCCATCATCGTCGTCAGCATGGTAGTTCTTGCTCCCCTTGGGACCAGTGAGCCCAGGTGCACACAGCAGGGTGGAGAATTCCTGCAAAAGTGCCCTGAGGCCCAGGGCCGCACCCTTGCAGTCCTGGTCCTCGCTCGGGTGGGCTCCCTTGTCAGGGGGCAGCACCTGGGGAGGGACACAGCCGTGAATGGTCAGCGGCCAGTGTTGCCTGCTCCCAGGGGGGTCGCACCACTTCTGTGCTCCCTTTGACTCCCCTTGACGCAGGGACCTAGAAGAAATATCTGTGTTAGTAAAGCCACAGGTGAGACTCCGGCCAGCTTGTGGCGTAGAGCTGGTCACCAGGACGTGCACCAGAGCAGGTGCCACCCCACCTGTCCTCCTGCAAGAACTCAAGACATCAGAATCACAGCCTTCCTGTGTCCATTTTTAAAATGTATTTGTTTGTTTTTGTAAAGATGGGGTCTCCCGATGTTGCCCAGGCTGCTCTGGAACTCTTAGGTTCAAGTCATCCTCCTGCCTCAGCCTCCCAAAGTGCTGGGATTACAGGCGGGAGCCACCGTGCCTGGCCCTGTATCCAGGTTGTCATGTTGTAATCGAGGCACTCCCGTTGCTCAGAGAGGTGAGGGTCCTGTCTGCTGCTCCTCTGCTGGTAATAACAGCTCAGGATCGTACCAGGTGCCCAGCGGCCCAATCTGGAAGAGCATCCTCGGCGGGGAGTCGGATGAGGGCCTTTTCCTGATTTGCAGGATGCAGCTGAGATGGTCTGCCCAGGTCTCTGAGCCAAGTGCCAGGCCCCAGGGGGTCTCTGGGCAAGGACCACAGAATAAACCTTGTCCCCACCACCACTAGGGGACAGGACAAGGCTGGACCTTTGGGATCAGCCTCAGGCTGCCTCTTAGATGCTTCTGGGCTCCCTGCAGTGCTGGCCAGCTGCCACAAGGGCTCCAGAAGCTCCAGTTTTGGATGACCAAGCAGATGGGACTGTATGGAACCCCGGCAGCAGGGGTCCAGCCTGGTGTCACCTAGGCCGGGCTTGCTGGGCGGGGAAGACACTGGCACCAGCCTTACTGAGGACCTGCTCTGCCGTTGCCCCGAGCCAGCCAGTCTGAGTCCCTGATGCCAAGGCCAGGCCATTGTTAGGGAGGAATGGCACCTACAGCCGGAGAGTCCATTCATGTGTCATCCCCTGCAGGCGTGGCCCAGGCTCACCATGTCCACCTCTTTTCCTTTCAGGCTGTTTGTGGATCTCTGGAAGCATCTACAGCCACCCACCCTCCCACCCGGGAGTCCGAGACCCGGCCAGGCGCCCCCACGGAGACCCTGCCCAGAGGCCCCAGGATGGCCCAGGAGCTGAGGCCAGTACAGTGTCTGCAGAGCAGCCGGGAGGAGGACGGACCAGACCTCGCCGGTGCAGGTAGATGCCAGCTCTTTTTGTATCTCTGGTTACTGGGCTGGGATGCGGTTGTCCCAGGAGGGATGGGGACTCCAAGACCTGAGTTCAGAGACAGTTCCGCCTCGTGTCCTCAACATCCTAGGGGAGAGACCGGGTGCGGGGTCTCCCTTACTGGAGTCTGGATTTTCTCTTCCGTGCTCCTTAGGGCTCCCAAATCGCGGTTTCATCAACATCCCTGGTTCTCGATACCCTCTCCTGCTATGCTTGAGGGCTGCCTTTGTTTATCTATTTACCTCTGCACTCTCCTGTCTTCATTCATTCCTTCATTTAAAAACAAGATGTAACGGATATTCTTGAGTCCAGAGGGGGTCGTTTCTGGGTTTTTGCGGATGTCAACGTGCTGTGTCCCGGGCGCACGTGTGTGGATCTCTCAGGCTGGGCCACAAGGAGCCAGGCCGCTGTGTGCGGGACGATGGCGCCTCCCTCTCCCACTCCCTCCAGCCACAGACGCGCTGTGGACAACACCCCCACCCCAAGGCGTCCTCAGACATCTCCTGAGGGCTTCTGCACGGTGCTTCCCTGAGGCAAGGCGAGGCTGTGCCCTCCTTGGTTAATTGCCGTGTGTGGGACCCTGAGGCTTTGGCTGCTGGGCCTTGGGGCCTGGGCCAGGTCAGACCCTTTGGCTGGGCTTAGACATTCGGTGACCTCTGTGATGCGTTTTTATGGCCCCGTCCTGAAGCCACCCCTTAGGCCATAGGTTCGTCAGCAAGACCCTCCAGAGGGCTGTGGTCAAGGCTCTGTCCCGCCCCCATCACTGCCCTACAGGATGGGAGACTTGAGACCCCCAGCCCAGCCCGCCCCGGGAGCCAACCACAGTGAGGGCAGTGGGTCCAAAGCACCGCATGTTATTGGGCCGAGCTGGAGAGGAGATGAGCAGACAGGGGACTGCTGGGGACCCGGGGACAGCTGGCCCATCCCCCAAGCTCTGGACTTTGATCTGGGACCTCCATCTGCAGGACAACCCCAATACCGACCTGTTTCTCATGTGGTAGGCTCTGGTGGAGGGAAGGGACTGGCCAGGGACTTTAGGGTCGCTGAGCCCTCTGAAGGGCTTCCAGACACTGGCAGGTAAGGACAGGGTGGTCAGGCCACAAAGCAGGCCAGGCAGGGACTACTGCCCCACCCTGTCTGAGGACCTGCTCTCCTGTTGCCTTGAGCCAGCTAAACAGAGTTCCTGATCACAGAGGCCAGGCCATTGTCAGGGAGGAATGGTTAAGGGCCTTGGACAAGTGAGTTTCCCTGCTCCATGCCTCAGTTTCCTCATTTGGGAAATGAGAAGAAAGCTAATGGGAGTGTCTGGCTCACGGGGCAGGTGTGGAGATTAACTCAGCCAGGACCCGAGCGTGTTTGTGACAGGCCTTGGTACCCTCAGTGTTCAGGGTGCAGGCTGGAACCAGTGAGTTGGGATTTGTTTGTGATTTCTGATGCTCAGCTCTGGTGGCAGCTCAGGCTGGGTCCACACTCACCTGTCACTAAGGACGTCCCCAGGGGAGGCTCAGTCAGAGGAGGACACCAGTGTTCCCCTGTGCCTGGGGTAGTCCGGGTGCCCCTGTTTGGCAATGCGTCCTCCCGGGCCTGGGGGCTCACGGGTCAGTGGAGGGCTCCGAGGAGGAGGCAGCTTGCCTGGTTCTCACCGTTTCTCTCCCACAGCTTTGGGCAGAGTCCTGCCACAGGAGAGGCCTTAGGAAGCCAGAGTCCTCCGGAGCAGAACAAGGCCCAGATGGACTCCTAGGCGGAGTTTGGCTGTGGTTGGGGGAGCAGGCCCATCCACTTCTTATCTGAGGGACCTTTGGCAAATTAATGAGCCATCCTGAGCCTCTGTCCTCACATCTGTAAGTGGGAGCCATGATAGTAGGTGTTAGTAGAGCTTTCGTGGCAGCCACGTGAGCTGATGCTTGTAAGATGCTTGAAGAGGTCTGGACACCGAGGAAGAACCAAGTCAGCCTTTTCCCCACTCATGTCAGGACACATGTCCTCCTCCGTCAGTGAAACAGTGTCCTGCAGGCCAGAGAGGCTGAGCAATCTGCCTCCACTCACACAGCACTGAGCGAGGGGGATGGGGCTTGAACCCTGAAGTCTGGCTCCCGCACCGAACTCACCCCGGGCACACCAGGCTGCTTCCCTGAGTGCTGGGAGGCTGAGGAGTTCAAGACTGGCCTGGGCCACCCCCAGTTGAAACTCTGTCTCTACAAAAATACAAAATTTAGCCGGGCATGGTGGCATGTACCTGTGGTCCCAGCTACTCGAGTGGCTGAGGTGGGGGGATCACTTGATTCCAGGAGGTTGAGGCGGCTGCAATGAGCCGTGATTGTGCCACCACACCCCAGCCTAGGCAACAGAGCAAGACTCTGTCTCAAAAATATTTGTTTTAATTTTAAAAAAAGTTTAAAACTAATTCAGGAGTTTTCAGAGTGACATTTCCAAGAGGAGCCCTTTTTGGAGACCTTTGGGGATGTGACCTGGGTCACATCTGAGTCCCTGGGACCTGGTCACTCCTGAGTCCCTGGTCCCAGTGGCCACCAGGTCCCTGGAAAGAATCTGTCTCATCAGCAGGTCCTTGCTGTGACTCACTGTGTAACAGCGAGGGAAGTTAGGGGCGAGGGCCTGAGAGTCTGGTGGTGCCAAGAAGGGTGCAGAGGTTGTGGAGGATCCCCGTGAGTGTCCCTGCAATAAGGGCTGACCTGGCAAGCCAGGAGCCCCTGCCCTGTGGCCGGGAAGGGGCAGGTAGGGCGGGGCCAGGGCACGAACCTGCGTCTGCCAGCTGCTCCTTGTCAGGCTGCTGCCAAGTCCGGGCAGTTCCCCAGCTAGAGACCCACCAAGAGCGTGTCCCGCAGTCAGGCCCCGCCTGGGCAGCCACTGCTGCTCAGAAACATGACAGTGACTAATGGTTTATTACACACCTGCCACCTCTCATCCGACAGGCGGGCGGGCGCAGTCTCCCGGGCCCAGCTGTGCACTGCCAGCTGGGCGGTGGGGCGGGTGCAGGGGGAGGGGGCACGTCCAGACACGCAGACGCACGAGACAGACACAGACACAGCACATACACGCAAACACACAGAGGAAAGCAGGCACTCAGAGACATAGCCCACATACACGGCATAGGCACGAGCGCACGCATAGGCCACACACACGCACACACACACACACTCACACACACACAGGAAAGCAGGCACTCGGAGACAGCCCACATACACGGCATAGGCACGGGTGCACGCATAGGCCACACACACACACAGATATGCAGACACACGGGCAGACCCAGCACATACGCAGATACACACAAAGAAACCCGTGACGCACACACACCTGCATAGATTTTTCCCAAGCACACGATATACACGTGGATATACAGACTCACAGGCACAGGGCCATATACAGGCAGACACAGAGCCTGTCTGCACCGCACACATACCACACACAGCCACACACACAGAAGCCAAACATCCTCACACAGGTGGATACACACACAGACTCACAAACACATATGCAGTACACACATGGATACATACACAGAGTCCCCCCACAAGCACACAGACACACACAGGTACAGAGACAGGCACAGACCCCCCCCACACACAGGTACACACAGGCATCAAGATTGTCTCACACACACACGTAAGCACACACCACAGAAACACACACAGGAGACACATTCCAAATGCCCATCCCCACCACAGCCCCGTCTCCCTCTTCCCAGGCCACGGCCCCGGGGGCACTGACGCTCTCTGCCCTCTCTGTCTCTCTGGCGCCTGACATGGTGGTCCCACCCTGGCACTGGCTGGGGCAGGGGCCTTTCCCAGCGGTGGGGGTGGCCAGGGCAGGTGGAGGAACTGTAACCGCCCAGGGCAGTCCATTTCTGACCCCCACTTCCCTGGAAATGCCTTGTGCGTGGGGACAGCAGCTTTTGCCAGGGAAAGGAAGCAGGTACAGGAGGAGCCTGTGCTGAGCTGGGACCTGGGCCGAGTCCCCCAGGGAAGCACATGGCCGTCAGCTTCCTTGGTCTCCCCCAGAGGCAGGGGTTGTGTCTGTTGTGGAAGGCGGTGATGAGTTTTGGTAACACTGGGTTCCCTGCTGTCCCAGACTCCCAGGCCAGCCCACAGAGCTTACCAGACTTGTGTCACTACGGTCGGATGGGGCTACCGCCGTGTCCAGAGTGGGGCCACTCCCGGGCAAAGGCTCCTGGTGGCTGGCCAGGCTCTTACCTTGTGGGCAGCTTTGGTTCCCAGGTGTTGCATTTGCAGTGGCCGTCTGGGAAGTGGCCTCTTGCTGGCTGCGGGGAGCACAGCTCCAGGACTGGGGACTCGGCCCTTCTGTGAAGGCCTTGGGGACCCCTGGGGCTGGGATTCCTCTGGCAGGCAAGGCCCAAATGGACTGAGCAGGCATCTCCAGCTGCTGGGAGAAGGGTGCAACCGAAACCTTGTGATGTGTGTCCTTCCCTCTTGGGGCGGGCGAGCACTCGAGCTCATCTCTTTCCAGTACTCTTCGGCCTTTAGTCAAATGAAGACCCATTTCTCATGTGCCATCGCGTGCAGTATAGAATCTATTGAGAGGACACTGCTAATTTATCACCAGCGGATGGGAACAGGCTTCCCTAGAACAAGTATCTTTGTGTTGCCTGCAGCTGCCTTGGGAGAGAAGCAGCACTGGTTGGTGATAGGAGGGAGGGGCTTGGACTCAGGTCCAAGTCTCTAAGTCCTAGCATTGCTACTTCCCGGCCACGGAGCCTTCTCAAGGTTCAGGACCTTTCCTGGGCTCTGCTGCTCTGACTAGTGAATAGGCATGGTAAAAATAAAATCCTTCTGGTAGCATGGTGTCAGTGATACTGGATGAACACTGAGAAGGCACTGAGGGCTGCCAGGCAGGGCTGTGCAGAGTGCACACTGCACAACTCCAGGAGGCGTCCACACACAGCAGAGGAAGGAGGGAGTGAGGGTAATCAAGAGAATGAAAGCACTGAGCTG